CCTCCCGACGGGGGCAGATGGTCGCCGCGGAAATCAGTGTCCCGAGAACGTGTCTGCGGCTGCGGTGCGGCCTGGACAAGCCGTATGCCGGCAGCCGGCTTCAAGCACGGACCCCTGGAGAATCTGCCCTGCTGTGCTGGCCCCGCCTCCGTTTGACGACACAGTGGCCTAGTGTCCACGCTAACTGTGCAATAGCCTGTATATAGGATGGAAGAAATAGTCGGTGTTTCCGCTGGATCCAGCCGGATTACAGAGCGTGCGGATACAATCATGAGGAGGAAGGCCATTACACATGATGGCCCCTCATCATTTATCTAAGCACGAAAGGTTTAGTAACTCATGGAACTGTACCAGAATTCGAAAGAGACGACAGCCCGGCCCAGGCCCAATACACTTGCAGGCGGACTTGAGCCCGTTCTTCGGCCCAACACGGCCATGCCATAGCTGGCAAGCTCAATTGCGGCTTGCGCGCATCCGCCCACAGCAGCTGAACTGCTGAAGCGCCCAGGATTGGCAGATCAGCTCCAGTGAAGAAGACCGGAGATATATGGGCATGGCACTATGCTAAAAACGGTTTGCAAGGTGCCTAGCGCAAAAGCCCAATGGTTTTGTCTTCACGATTGACACAATGAAACATGAGGAATTTGTCAAGCTCATGGTGATCATGTGGACGGCGCGGCACAGAGTTATCCGTTAAGGTATTCAATCAGAGCTCACTCTCCACTTTCAGTTTTGTCAATAATTTCTTGAATTATGAGTAGAAGCTGGCTAGTGAGAACTGAGAACCGAGTAAGCCACCAGGAAGTCTAAACCGGCTATGAGAATAGATGGGATGGATTGCACCTCCGTCCTAGTGATGTTGCAAAAATCAATGTTGATGCCGCAGTTTCAGAATAGGCAGGGCAATAGAGGAGCAGTAATCGTCATCATCAGAGATGATTTTGGGAATTTTGTGGCTGCATCTGCTGTGGTTTTTCATTGGGCTTGCTGATCCAGTGAAGCGCTATCTCTAGCCATCGATGTTGGGCTCTTAGGTAGCGTTTGGTTGGGAGTCGAGGTGGGATGAGATGCAGTGGCGAAGCTAGAGCGAAATGGAGGGGGGTGCAAGAATAAAGAAGCGATAAAATATAATTACCAAACCGAAGAATTCCACGAACAATATTTTAAGACCAAAAAATGAACCGATGAAAAAAAATACAAATATTACCTTTAACCTTCATCATCAAATCTACGACCTTGCATTTTCATGAAGCGACAAACCACGGCCTCATTGGTGACTTTCAACAGCTCTTCTTTCTCCACATAGCAAATAAGGCTATTGCTCATATATATATCACCAATGCGATTGCGCAATTATGTTTTCACAATTTTCATGGCTGAGAAACACCTCTCAACTGTAGCAGTAGCAACAGGTAGCACTAGCACAAGCTTCAAAAGTCGGTAAACCATTGGATAACGTTCGTGTTTTCTAGTCTTCACCATTGTTTGAGAAAGCTCGGCAACAGTTTGTAGGTTGGAGAACCTTTCATCATCTCTCACATCATATATGTAGAGGCCAAGCTCGTGGTTAAGATCCCTCGAATTCCTAGAATCAAAATCATGTGGATAAAGTTTCGCTAGGCTCATCAAATTTTCTATACTAAAATCATGGAATGAGTCTCTTGGACTAAAAGCTACTGAGCAATCTCATTGAAGCGGCTGTCAAGCTCTTGAAGTAGCCAATCAATAACATCATTAAAACAATCTACTTGATAATAATGCTTGTTTGTAATTCCAGATTTATGCCTCCGCTTCTTTGGACCACTGCCATTTGTTCTTTCCAAGAAACATCTCTCGACTCATCAACTAGCAAGCAAAAAACATCATCCCCAATTTCTTCTAGAATAGAGTGTAGCACTTCCTTTTCAAAACAATGCACAGTATCCTTTTGTATTTCAGGAGCAATCAAAAGGCTGTTATCCAAATTCTTTTTATCTACTGCCTTTTTTAAGGTCGGATTTTGCTCTTATGCAAAATTACGAAATTCCCTGAAGTTCCCTTTATTTAAGGACTTCTTCGACTCGTCGTGGCCCCGAAACGGCAATCCTTGCTTCACCAATATTCTAGCAACATCAATAGACCCATTCAAATGAGTAAAATAGTCCTTTTTAGCAGATTCACTCACATCACGGAAAGCAACATCAATGTGTTGTTTTGTTTGTAAGAGATCATCACATTTCTTCATTGCCAGATAGTGTGAGCCACCGACATTACCAACATGATTTTGTAGCCTTTCCTTTCTATGATAGACATTCCAACCATTTTTAACAAATGCATCATATCCGCCATCCTTCTTTTCTCTAAACAAGAAACAATAAAAGCAATATGCTCTGTCTTTGGACTCACTATATTCAAGCCAACCTCCAAACTCATCGAACCATTCTGGAACAAACCTTCTTGGAATTCCTCCAATATCTGTCACAGGAAAATGAACTGTGCGAGGTTGGCAAGGCCCATTCTCCAAGTACTTTCTTCTCACCCTCTCTCTAACATTAGGATGATAATCATCAATTTGTTTCCTTAATCCTGGATCAGACTTAATCTCCTCCTCCCAGTTGATATCATCCAAACGTGAATTTCTAGCATTATTGCCATTATCCGGCTCCGGTGCTTTCCTTCTGTAAAATCGTTCCATTAATTGACCTGTGGAGTAAAATCGTTCCATTAAAATGATTGTATGAAAAAGAATACTCAATCATTAGAACTTTCCGATTATATATATAACAAATCAGATTAAGGGAGCGTTTGGTTTACGTCCAAAGGATGCCACGCCGTGCCGCAACTTCAGCGCCGCAGTTGCGGCATGCGTTTGGTTCACTGCCCCATTTGCGGCATGCCGCAACCCTGCCGTGGTCTTCTAGTGCATTTTGGGTACAAAAACGTGCCGGAGGTGCGGCGGCCGATTCCAGCGCCGCAGTTATGGCGCGGCCAGAGGTTCGGTGCGGCAGCTTGTGGACACCGTCCAAACGCGCCTTAATTAAGAAAGAATAAGTGAATACCTTGGTTCTGCTAATCAGTGGCCCGTAAAGCATCACCAATCGGACCTGGACAACACTTGACCGGTGCTTATAATAAAAAGATTCGTTCTGACCTGTGGAGAAGGGGACGGCTGGGAGTGGGCACACGGCACACGGCACACGCTGACACGCGCACTGGCGCTGGGAGTCTGGGAGCTGGCCGTTTTTTACCGTGGTCACGCGGTGGCGCCTAGCGCGGCGAGGCGAGGATCGCCTGCCAGTGCCAACGGGCGGCGGCGCAGGCTTCTGTCAGATCGTGAGGGAGGGGAAAGGGCACTGGAGTCAGATCGTGAGGCAGGCCTATCGTCAGATCGTCAGGGAGAGGAAACGGCGCGCGTCCGTGGTGTTGCCGTGCTGGGCTGCTGGCGTAGCGGTCTGGACGCCTGGACTGCTAGGCTGCTGCCTGCTGGGGGGGGGTCATCTGCACCCACTGGGCCTTACTGGGCTTCGGCCTTGGTGGATGGTCCCGTCTCTAGTTTCTGGGACATGATGACGCCAATTTTATTTGGTTGAAGAGGGATGAGATAAACTCATTTTCTGTTTGGTCACTAACAGGTGAGGTCCATTTATCAGTTTTTTCTTTTTTTCTTTTCTCTGTCTCTCCTTATCCCCTTCGTCCACGTTCCCCAACCAGCGCTTGACACCTCGTAGATCTCACGCTCGTGAGCGCAATGACGGAGCTCCGCGCTCACCCCTTGTTTCGCCGCCACCAGCGTGCGGCCCCTCGCTTCACCGCCGCCGGCGCGCGGCCGCCCGCCGGAGACCGAAGGCCTCGCCAGTGGCCGGCGTGACACCCTCGATCGGAGCCCTCACCCTCGCCCCCGTGCGCGGCCACGCGCTGCCCTGTGCTCGGTTCTCCTCTTCGTCCTCCGCCCTTATGCTCACAGGGCAGACCTGGAGGTTGAGCGGTGGCGGCAGGCCGGACCGGAGCTCGCGCGGCGCTTTTCTTTCTCGACGGCAACCCCTCCCCTTGTCCTCTTCTTCCTCCAACCACGCGAGCGACAATGGCCGTCCTACTTCGTGTGATCCCACCCCATCCCACCATATCCCACCAACAAAAACACTACCTTACTGTTGGAAGGTAATAAAAAACATTTACAATGAAAATTTCTGCAGCTACTATATTTCTCACGGAATGGATGTCTGGAATGATTTTAGCCTAAAATGTTGTGCAAATTTATGCTATTTTTTTATCATCTGGAACGAATCCGCGAGGAACAAGAGCTAAATGAACGAGCCCTGAGACTGTCTCCAACAACCGCTACCCAAAATACAAGACATATTCCATGTTTGGGTAGCGCTACAAGTAAATATTTCAATACTTATTTTTGGTCTTCTTCAATAACAAGACCCAAAAGAGAATCCTTTCTGCAAATAGGTCTCCAGAAAAGAGGATAGTCAAGTTTAGGTTATACCTCTCCTGGGACTCAAAATGTGTATGTATTCCGTTGGACGTTGTAACGAGTGGCTAGGTGGGCCGTATATTCGTAGCTGGGCCTGCGGCGTGTATGGGCCTGTTGGCCATGCTGTGTGAGTCGGAGGCGGTGCCGGTGAATATAAACCGCGCCGTTGTAATGGATTGGTTATGAACAGTTAAGGAATAACAAACCCGAATCCCTCCCCATATCTGTCTTCTTCTTCTTCAGACTCGCTCTACCAATTCCTTCTTCCTCAAATTCCCCATTTCTACCCTTCTTCTGTATCAGAGATCTCTAGAGCGTGACAATTGGTATTCAGAGCAAGGTTAGGGAGGGAAATTTCATCACAAATTTTTTTCATTGATCCGTGCTGGCGCCGAAGAAACGCACCACCAAGTTTGAGGCCCTGATGACGACTTCGATCGAGGATTTGACGAAGCGGTTCGATGGGTTTGAGCTGATGATGCAGCAATCCCTCGACAAGCTTAGCGGTCTTGAGGCATGGTAGACCACGGCGGAGGTTTCGATGGGGTCCCTGTTCCAGAAGACGGATGCGGCGGTGACTCGGCTGCAGCAGTTGGAGTCCGTTCCGCCCCCTCCTCCTCCGCGCGGGCCACTTCCACCGCCGAACCCTACTCATGGCGTGGTCACCACCTTCGACCTCAACCATGCTCCGGGTACATCGGCACGCGCCTCTGCGTCGCCCCCGTCTGAGCACGCCTACGGGCACTGCGAGCAGGGCGGCGGGATCCTTAGACCCCGGCCGTCCAACTTCATTCAGGGTATGACTCATGATCCTCATCCTCCCTTGCCTGATACATCTTGCGGACTTAAGGATGTAGCGAATATAAAATCTCCTTTGCCTAAGATCGAGTTTCCCAAATTTGACGGTGATAATCCTCGTTTGTGGCGAGATCGGTGTGAGATGTACTTCGACGTCTATGCTGTGAGCGCGGCCATGAAGACTCGGTTTGCTGCATTGAATTTTGTTGGCGCGGCTGCTCTTTGGCTTCAGTCTGTTGAGCGCAGGGGCAGGATTACTGATTGGGAGAAGTTCTATCAGTTGGTTTTTCAGAAATATGACAGAGATCAGTACAAGAACCAGTTACGTCAGTTGGATTCTCTTCAACAGACTGGAACAGTTGCTGAATATCAGGCCAAATTTGAGCAGCTTTCTCATGGGATTCTTCAGTACAATGAATCATATGATGATACATATTTTGTGACACGCTTTGTGGGGGGCCTCAAGGAGGAAATCAGGGCTGCTATTGCTTTACACAGGCCTCCAGATGTGGATTCAGCCAGTGCTTTGGCTCTCTAGCAGGAACAGGAAATTGAGAATGCTAGAAGCAAGATTCCTGGAAAAGGGGATGCTAACTATAAACCCTGGAAAGTGGAGGGTAAGACTTATCAGAAGAGGTTGGACACCCCTACTGGTCCAAAACAGGGAGGTGACAAGCTTGAGTCATTGAAAGAATTCAGAAGAGCTAATGGTCTATGCTATAAATGTGGAGAGAAATGGAACCACAATCACAAATGTCCACCACAGGTGCCATTGCATGTGTTAGAAGAGTTGTGGGATACTATGGATCAGGTTTTTGATAGCACTGATCTAGATGAGGTTACTCCCCAACCAACTGAGGTAGTGTTGGCCGTCAATGTTGATTCCCCACCAAGCTCAAGGATAATGAAATTTTTGGCTCAGATTGGTAAAACTCAGATTCTTGTACTAGTTGACTCTAGAAGTGTTGGCACCTTTGTCAGTCAAACTCTGATTGCTAAGCTCAAGTTACCAACTCTGACATGCAATCAAGTTCAGGACAAGGCTGCTGATGGGGGGCTCATGACTTGCACTCAGTATATCCCAGAATTGCACTGGTATACCCAGAAGCAGTCATTTTGCTCTCAAGCTAAAGTGCTACCCCTACAATGTTTTGACATGATTCTAGGGGAAGATTGGCTAGAAGCAGTCAGTTCTATGTGGGTAGATTGGAGATCCAAACTGATGAGGTTTACTTACAAGGGCCAAAGGATTGAGTTGCAAGGGTTGAAAGATGATACTTTTCATTGTGCTGAAATCAGTCCCAGGAGACTGCAAGGTTTATTCAGACACCAAGCAGTTGTGCACTGCATTCAGTTCCAGATGATACAAGAAACGGTGCCAGCAGTGAGTTCAAGTCCTATCACAGACTTTGTGTCATCATTACAGGATCCTGATTTCTCAGGATTGCCTCAGCATATTGCTTCATTGATCAAGGAATTCTCCCTTCTGTTTGAAGAACCCACATCTCTACCTCCAAAAAGGTCTGATGATCACCAGATCCCTCTATTGCCTGGAGCTCAACCAGTGCAAGTCAGACCCTATAGGTATTCACCAGCACAGAAAGATGAGATTGAGCATCAGCTACAGACTATGTTGAAGAGTGGCATTATTAAGCCAAGTGTAAGCCCTTATGCTTCTCCAGTGCTGTTAGTAAAGAAGGATGGCACTTGGAGGTTCTGCATTGATTATAGGCACCTTAATGCATTTACTGTGAAGAATAAACACCCAATGCCCATTGTTGAAGAACTATTCGATGAATTGACTAGGGCCTGCTGGTTTACCAAATTAGATTTCAGATTAGGATACCACCAGGTCAGAATGGCTGCTGAAGATCAGGCTAAGACAGCCTTCAGAACTCACAATGGACTCTTTGAATTCTTGGTCATGCCTTTTGGCTTAACCAATGCTCTAGCAACCTTTCAGAGTTTGATGAACAAGATTTTTGCACATTTGCTCAGGAAAGGAGTGCTGGTATTCATGGATGATATTCTCATCTACTCCAAAACCTTAGAAGAGCACAATGCCTTACTGAAACAGGTTTTTGAGATTCTGCATCACCATCAGTTTTTCATTAAACTGTCCAAGTGTTCATTTGCACAAACATCCATTGAGTATTTGGGACATGTGATCTCTGCTGAGGGTGTATCAACTGAGCAAGCTAAAGTGGAAGCTGTTAGGAATTGGCCTGTACCAACCAATCTGAAGCAACTCAGAGGGTTTCTGGGGCTCACTGAATATTATAGGCGTTTCATTCAGCACTATGGCCATGTCAGTAGACCTGTCACTGCCTTACTTAAAAAGGGTAGTACATTTCTGTGGACACCTGAGACTAAAACAGCATTCAGGACATTACAACAGAAACTGATCCAAGCTCCAGTGTTGGCCTTACCTGATTTCTCCAAACCATTTGTCCTAGAGACTGACGCCAGTGATTTGGGTGTAGGAGCAGTACTAATGCAGGAGGGACACCCAATTGCATATTTGAGTAAACCATTAAGTCCAAGAAATCAGGCATTATCTACATATGAGAAAGAATGTGTTGCTATCTTGATGGCTATTGAGAAATGGAGACCCTATCTCCAACATCAAAAGTTCAGTATCTTTACTGACAATATCAGCTTACTGCACATTACTGAGCAGAGGATTACTTCAAAGTTGCAGCATAAAGCACTTATGAAGCTCATGGATCTCAACTTTACCTTACATTACAAGAAAGGAGTGTCAAATACAGCAGCTGACTCCTTGTCCAGGTGTTATACCGATTCAGCAGTGCAAGCTGTGTCTGCTTGTGTACCCTCTTGGCTTACAAAATTGCAAGAAGGATATTTAGATGATCCTCAGGCTCAGCAATTGCTGACAGAACTCAGTATTTCTCCAGACTCTACTAATGGGTATTCTCTAGTTGATGGGATCATCAGATACAGAGGTAGAGTCTAGGTTGGCAACAACTCCCTTGCCCAGTAGCATATAATTCAGGCCTTACATAGCAGTGATATAGGAGGCCATTCAGGCATCACTACTACTTACAGCAGGGTGAAACAGTTATTCTATTGGCCTAAGATGAAGGACACAGTACAAACATTTGTCCAACAGTGTGACATTTGTCAGAAGGCCAAACCAGAACATGTGAAATTACCTGGTCTTCTGGCTCCTCTGCCCATTCCTGAGCAAGCCTGGGAGATTGTCAGTTTGGACTTTATTGAAGGACTCCCAAATTCTGACAGATATGACTCTATTATGGTAGTGGTGGACAAATTCACAAAGTATGGCCATTTCATACCATTGAAACACCCATACACTGCCCTACAGATTGCTCAGGTATATATGGACCAAGTGTACAGACATCATGGCCTTCCTAAAGCCTTGATTTCAGATAGAGACAGAGTATTCACCAGTGCTATCTGGCAAGAGCTATTCAGACTCTCTGATACTCAATTGATGATGAGTTCATCATATCACCCACAAACCGATGGTCAAACCGAGCGACTTAACCATTGCTTGGAGATGTTTTTGAGGTGTACAGTCCACTCCTATCCAAAGAAATGGCATCAATGGCTACCAGCTGCTGAATTCTGGTACAATACTTCCTTCCACTCTGCATTGGGCAAGTCACCCTTTGAGGTTTTGTATGGACATACACCTAGGCAGTTGGGCATTACCAATCTGCAGCAATGTGCAGTCCCAGACCTGGAAGAATGGCTTAAACAGCGCCAGCTATTGAACAAACTCATACAACAACAATTGTTGCGTGCCCAACAGAGAATGAAGAAACAAGCTGACCGGAACAGGTCTGATAGGGTGTTTGAACCTGGTGAAATGGCATATCTGAAGCTCCAACCTCATCTAAAGTCTTCGGTGGCTTATAGAACCAATCATAAGCTGTCCTTTAAATACTATGGGCCTTTCAAGGTACTTCAAAGGGTTGGACCCACGGCATACAAGCTGGAACTCCCACCTGATTCTCGCATTCATCCAGTGGTACACGTATCTCAACTGAAGAAGTGTATTGGTCCGTTGCCGGATGCTACACAGGACTTATCTTCTATCAGTACTGACCCATTCAGTGAGATACAGCCTCAACAGGTACTTGATCGCCGCCTGCAGGCTAAGGGCGCATCGGTGGTCGCTCAAGTTCAGGTGCAATGGACTTCACTCCCAGCGCAGATGGCGACCTGGAAGAGGCAGTGGATCTTCAGCACCGTTATCCAAGGGCACCAGCTTGGGGACAAGCTGTCTTTCGTGGGAGAGGCAATGTAACGAGTGGCTAGGTGGGCCGTGTATTCGTAGCTGGGCCTGCGGCCTGTATGGGCCTGTTGGCCATGCTGTGTGAGTCGGAGGCGGTGCCGGTGAATATAAACCGCGCCGTTGTAATGGATTGGTTATGAACGGTTAAGGAATAACAAACCCGAATCCCTCCCCATATCTGTCTTCTTCTTCCAGACTCGCTCTACCAATTCCTTCTTCCTCAAATTCCCCATTTCTACCTCTACCAATTCCTTCTTCCTCAAATTCCCCATTTCTACCCTTCTTCTGTATCAGAGATCTCTAGAGCGTGATAGAGATCCATTTTGGGTTTAGGTCTCCTGTTGGAGACAGCCTAAGGAGGAACCGCTATTTGAGCAGGTTCGCTTGTCATAAGTTAAGGGGATCAATTTTGAAGTTCATTGGTTAGCACGAGTAGCTGTTACTATATTAGCAGGCCCCTATGTGTAGTGTATGAATCCAGGAATCCCACCATCTATGTGTTAGAAACCCTCAATGTTGCTACAATATGATGCAATGAATCGCCGTGTCCCTAGGAAAAGGAGGATAGCTTACGGTTGGTTAACAAATAACGACGCAACGAAGAAATAGCAATGAGCTCGGGGACTGACGACTGACCGACCACACAATACACAACGTCGACGACAGAGAACAGACAGATTCATGCAACCTGATTTCCATTTTCCAACAATGAATAAAAATGACTCACCAGAAACTACATCATGCTGGTTACTTTCAACAGACAGATTCATGCAACCTGATTTCCATTTTCCTACGAATAAAAATGATAAAGTTGTGGTGTGCAATTCATGGCATGTACCAACTTGGGGAAGAACAAGGACTCCGAACTATGTGAGTCCAAGCAAAACAACCTGCCTTAATTCAATTAACTATTCTTTTGCAATGCTTCAGTATGGACAACGCTAAAAAAAATAGTAGGGCGCCCAATTTCAATAGACATGTGATGTGACCCGACCTGTTTTTCAGTAGAAAAGAAGTGAGAAAGTTGTGGACTTTGTGACATTCATGGTGCGGAGTACATGACGCAAATAAAACTTGACTTCACCTGACTTGACTAGTTAATTATACACAGGACTACATTTTTCATTAGGCTTCACAGTGATTCACTGCCATGTGTGGTTTCTACAGTCTAAAACTATCATAGGACAAGCATTTCAATCAAATAGCAGGCTCGTTCCACTTCCATCCACAACTACCAGAACCTAGTACATATGTATCAACAAACTGGTTTCAAATTGGGGTAGCATTAAAATTTATACTAAGTCTGCAATACTGATTGAACAAAAAGCCAATTTCTTAATCAAACGAGGAATGCTCCCAAGCAACAAACTATCGCTGTCAGGTAATCATGAACGAATGATCCAACTCACTATTTGCATACCATTCACAAAGACAACCAAAAAGCACAACAATAAGGAACAATAAAGTCATTGGCTCAAGACATATAATCTCAGGTTCCCATCTCATCACATGAACAACGAAACTGAAACTACAAAAGGTTCTTTCTCTGCTTGCACAACGAAACTACTACCAGCAAGAGCATAATCATACTGAGGGCGAAAAGGATGAGGCACGAGCTGAACTGGCGTCGCGGCTCGGCGCCTACTTCTCGGAGGAGTTGGGCCCGCGCTTCTTGCCGAAACCAACGACGGCGGTGACGAAGCGGCGGTTGTACTGCATCCTCTTGTGCGCGCGGCCGCGGGGCTTCTTCTTCTTGTCCTGCTTCGCCACCTTGGGCGTCTGCCCGCGGACCTTCCCGGCACGGGCCAGCGATCCGTGCACCTTACCTGCGCATAGCCACGCGACACACCCGATCAGCGCGTGAGTACACGAGGAGGAGGCAGCGAAAGGTGAGGAGGAGAGATGAGAGGAGAGGGTGGCTTACCCATGGCTGCGAAGCGGCGGCGACGGCGACGGAGGCGAGCGCGGGAAGGCTGGGAGAGATGCGGCGGCGGCGGCTGTAAGAGGGAAGAGGAAACCCTAGTTGAGGGGGCAGGAATTTATAGGCGTGAGGATTTTTGCGTGCGGGGAGAGGGGCTGGAAGGTCGGTTGTGGCCCGTGGGAGGAGATTGACGGGCCTTGCTACACTGGGCTGATGTTACCAGTATTTAGGGCCTGAGACGTGTGGGCTGATGGAAAGACTGGACTAGGCCTCTTTTTGCTTTTTTTTTTCAGGAAAACACTAGGCCTCTTTTTGTTGTGAGCTGTAGTTCTAGTCGTATGGCCTAATTTTGTAGGCCCACTTAATTCAAAGTGTAGCGACATCAATTTTTAACCAAAAAAAAACCAATGCGAATGGACAAGCGACGTTTCTTATCGTCGTTTTACCAATGTCAGTGCTTCAAGCATTCTCAAATCACAAGGAGGCAGGAGCGAAAACATTCTAGCAAAATCATAGATGTTGGAATGGGGATTATAGCAAACCGTATTAGTCCTACGAACTGATGGCGCGTTTGGTTGGATGCCCGTAGAAGCCAAACCAAACTTGGGCGGCCATCAAACTTAGAAACACCTCGTTTGGCTTGCCGACGCGTTTGATTTCCTGCAGCAATTTTGGCCTGCCCTAGCGCCCACGGTGCCAAGTTGTGGTTCATTTTTTCCTCGTCTGTCTGGCAGAATCGGGGCGGCCGTTTCGGCCTCCCAAGTTCGGCCGGATGCCCAGGTTTGGCAGGGCATCTACAGGTCGAACCCGAACGCGCCCCTGTATCCACGTCGGCGTCACGGCCCAACTGCCAACGCCCAACGACGTGCTTGCGCCGACGACGGCGATCTCTTCGAACCCCGCCCCGGCCGCCGCAAGACATTCCGCGCAACGAACCCCGCCATCCATCAGCCGAACGCACGCACCCATCATCCACGGTCGGAGCTCCGGCGCCGTGCACAGGGACGCGAGGAAGAGCGGGAGAGGGCAGATGGTGGCACGCCGCGGGACAAGCCTGCACTGCATGTTCGTTCACCTCGCTCCATGAGGCCAATGAACTGGCGTCTCCTCGTGTCCTGGCCTCCTGGGCGCCCTCTTCCTCTCTCCGACGTGGGCAAAAAGCACCGCAGGCTGTCAGCTCCAGCTGCCGACGTGAGGAAGGCCGCCTCTCCCACCCTCACTCGCAGAGTCACAGTAATCTGTTTTCTTTTCTTGGCGTCGCGAGATGGGATCGAACCGTATTCCAGCCCCACTCCACCACTTGCCCCCGGAATCCATCCAGCATCGCGTGCAACGGAGATGCGCTCCCGCCTCCCGGCTGTCCGGCCGTGGCTCCGTGCCTTCCATTCTGACGCACCCACACCCGTTTCGCGATCGACGCCGTGCACATGCGCCTCCTGTGCCGCGCGCACGCCCGTCGCGAATCTCGCCGCCCTCGCTGTCCCTTGCATAATTGTTTTTGTCATGTCGGCCGTTCTGGTGTCGCAAAACGCTGTGACGGCGAGCTAGCTGCTACTCAGGGCCAGCCGGCCAGAGGGCCGGGGTTCGTTACTTACACCGTCTCACGCACGTACTCCATCCATCACAAGATTTAATAGGATAGGGTGATCTCTTGAAACAGATAGAGCCAGGATGGCCAGGCTATGCAGGACCAAAGAAGGTGGGTTGAGCTTGTGCAGGTGGCGGGTTTTGGTTGTCTTTGTCTAAGACTTACTAATTGTGTTTTGCATGCATGTATTAGTTTTCGTCTCACGCATCGTAATCAAGTCATCCATCACAAGATTAATAGGATAGGGTGATCTCTTGAAACAGATAGAGTACACAGGGCCAGCATGGAACAAGTCAGATCAGCTCAACAGCCCAAGATAAACGTCACACTCACAGCCAGTGGAACAAGTCAGATCAGCTCAGTTAACAATCAGTAACTTGTAAACGTCACACTGCAGTGAGTTAACAATGCTGTAATGTGAAAAACCCGGCGTTTCTACAGCATCACCGCTCCATTTGTCAACCATCTAGGCACTGTCGGTACCAATGGAACGTTTGGCTCCATTTGCATCAACCACGGGCGTACGTATGTAGTATTGGTTATGTACAGGTAGTACAGTACCTCAGCAAATGACGCCACGTGGACACCGATGGGAAGCAGCAATAATCAGCCACTCTGATTGGTGGTGCCATGAGTGATTGAGCTTGGCATCTTGGTAGTACAGCACCTCAGCAAACCCGGCAATTGCATGACCTATCATCTTCTGCAGAAATAAATTGAACGGCCCAGATCCAAGAATTGGAGTTGTTAATTTGTCAGAGATCTGAAGAAGAAGTAAAACAGTTTTCAGTGCCGTTTCAAAATGCCGTCTTCATTGACCTAGCACAGTTTAAAGGGTTTGTGATCACAACGTCGCAACGGACAAGGGGAGGTTTCTGAAAATCGTTGTCTATTTGCTTGGGCTACTCTGTCTGCAATTGGAAGGATAGCGTATGCAGCTTACAAGTCGCAGGCACAAGAAAGCTGCTACTCCATAATATTCAGGCTAATACCAATGCAATGATACCGTGCAACTAGGCACAATACAGAGCAAGATTTTTTTTTGTTTGTTTGTTTTTCCCGATCGTGCTAGAGCAAGAATTCGGTAACAAAAAAAATATTGGTTGTCTTCCGTTTGCATGTTTTTCATGCCCCGTTCGCTTGGCTTATAAGCCATACTTTTTTAGCCAACTGAACAATATTTTTCTCTCACAACAAATCAGTCATCAGTACTTTCAGCCATGGCTTATCAGCCAAACGAACAGGCATTTAATTTTGGAGGAAACCAATAGAAGACTTTAGAAACCAATAGAAGTCTTTTACTTCTCAGAGAATTGTTTATTGTGGTTTGAAAGTTACTGCTTGGAAAATCAGTTCTTGTGTGACCAGGTAAAAGTAGCAGCCCATCAAATCTTTGTCCGCTGAATTTGTCAAGGGAATAACATCCAAGCAACAACTGGAGGTCTGGAACACGTATGAACACATGCCACGAAAATCCACACGATCACTTCAGTCTCTGGGTCGTCAGAAACAGTGTAAAAATGGCATACCTTGTCCACAAAGACAAGAACTTTCTTTGGGTTTTACTACTTCATGAACAGGCAACTGGCAACCTTACAGCCAAGAACAGATTTCAACAGTCAAAGTTTGGTGATAGAAAGCATGGCACGCAGACTTGTACAATTACACAATTGTTTGAACACGGAAGGGTCCCAAACACAAACACACCAAATGAACAAGTCATACTCGTTGATTCATCTAGTTGTTCATTTTTCCACAGATGAACCTGACAGCGAGCAAGAACTAATATTTACATACATGTCTGATCAATACCTGTCAGTGAAAACAGTAACAAGACTAAAAAGAAGTACTATGAAATAATTAGAGTGAAAAAAGAGAGGAAGTGATCAAGATTGAAGAACAGGGGAGAAACACAGAGCAAGAAGCTACTTCAGCCTTCAACCCCCCATAAACAAATACGAGTTCCTGGCGTGTTAATCGATCGCGCTTCTGCTACCAACCAATCCTCGATGCGTCTTTCCCGATCCAAGAACAAAATAACGTTACTTGCCTTTGCAAATCCGCCGCTCCAAGTTTCGTATTTGATTTGATCTGCGAGGAGGAGCCTAGGCCTTGACGACGGCCATCATGCGCTTGAACTCCTCGAAGGACACCATGCCGTCGCCGTCGCTGTCGATGAGGCGTATCATGTCGCGGCAGTCGGCGACGGCGGGCCGGCCGTTGCCCTGGCGGCGCAGGCCGAGCGAGCCCAGCACGGTGCCGAGCTCCTCGGCGGAGATGAGCCCGTCCTTGTTGCCGTCGAACACGTCGAACGCCTCCCGCAGGTCCCTCTCCTCATCCTCCTCCCCCTCGGCCTCTTCGTCGTCGCCCTCCACCGGCACCTCCCTCGCTGCCCCGCTGAAACCGCCGGCGGAGGCGGGGTGCTGGTGCTTCCTCTTCTTGGGTATGGAGTCGTAGAGCTCGCGGAACTCGTGGATGTCGATGAGCCCGTCGCTGTTGGCGTCAACGCACGCGACCATGGCCGCTGCCTCGTCGGCGGACACGGCGATGCCGAGGCGGCGCAGCGACTCCTCCAGCTCGACCATCGTGATGAAGCCGTCGCCGTCGTGGTCGAACGTGGAGAAGACGATGCCCAGGTCCTTCTCCGGTTCTGCCCGCGCCTGCTTCTTCCCCTGCTGCTGCTGCTGCGGCGTCTCCTCCGGCACGAAGCCGTCCCTGCCTCTTGGCTCCTTGCCGCCGGCGTCTCCGCTCTTGACGTCCTCGCACTTCTTGGAGCTGGCACGCAAGGAGGTGGTGAGGGAGAAGAGGGCGCAGAGGCCGCCGAGGAGGAAGAGCAGGAGGAGAGGCGCCATGGGTGGGTGGATGCTTTGCTTGCGCTTGGCCTTGGAGGTCTCTGTGCGCGCGGGAGTGTGTGAATGGGAGATCTGGAGAGGAGGGAGGCGGAGAGGCGGTTGATGGAGTTGGAGTACTCTCCGTATATGAGGGGAGCCGAGCGGAGCAGCCGAGCAGGAGAGGAGACTACTGCGGAGGAGCGGAGGAGCGGAGGAGGCGGCAGTTGTTGCTTGCGATCGTGCGATGGCCTGGTAGATCGTGTGTGGTTAAGATCCATTTCCTTTTGAAAAAAAAAGGTTCGCATCGCACTGGTGCCCCTGCACAGAGCAAATATCTCAGAAGGAGCCTCGCCGAAAAATTGGTATACGTGGGTGCTCTTGAATGAAGGTGGTACAGTGCATGGTGGCGTACAAGGCAGATTTTTCGTTGTAGGGAAAGATGTGAGGATGAGCATACTAGGCTACTCGACTTATATATCTTTAATCTATTCATTCATCAGAGCAAGTCCAATAGAACCTGCCTATAAGTCAAGCCAAATCATCAATAGACAGGTTTAGAGACTAACACATACAACAACTAGTATCCTTCTATAGTCTAAATATTTTTATTATCGATATTGATACTGTGCGGACGCCCGCCCCGTCGGGACGCCGCGCACCTGGGCTGCCGCCCAATTAGAGCGACGGTCATCGCCCCTTCTATGACCGTGCGCGTGTCGATTCCTCCAAGCCCCGCTCGTCATTTCCATCCGCAACCGTGTTTCCCAGCCGCTCGCTGTCGCGCGCTCCCCGTGACAGACGCAGCGCGTCGCGCCTAGCTTGCTGTCGCGCCGCTCGCCCGGCTCCCTCCCTTCCTCATCGACCTCCCTCCCTCCCTCCCCCCTAAGCAACCTCCATTGTGACCCCGCTCCCGCTCCCCCACCGGAGACGAGCACAACGGCGGCGGCTCCGACGAGGTAGGTCGCTCCTTCTCTGGATCTGAGCCCTCCTCCTCCTCTAGATCTGAGCCTCGTCCTCTTCCTCTAGATTTGAGGGACGCGGCGGTGGCTAGGGTTCCAGTGAGCTCTGGGGTCCTATTCCCTCCTCCCTCCAGCGAGCTCTGTTTCTCCGTGTTGCAATGGGTTTTTTAGATGTTGCAACAGATAATTTTCGAATGTCGTAATGGGATTTTTGGGTTGCTGCAACAGATGATTTTCGAATATTTCCATTTCCATGTTTCATGTTTGATTTTTGCTATGTTGCAGTACTACTATTTGAGATGTTGCAGCACATAATTTTTGATATTGCAGCACATAATTTTTGATGTTACGGCACACAATTTTTCGATGTTGCAGTATATATTTTGCGATGTTGCAGTACATGATTTTCGATGTTGCAGCACATGATTTTCAATGTTGCAATACATATTTTTTTCGATGTTGTAGTACATGTTTTTCGATGTTGCACTACAGTTGTAGTTTTTATATCCCGATGTTGCACTACATAGTTTCTCCATATGCTTTGCGATGTTTTGCACTTGAAGTGTTTTCATGCCTTTGGGACGGGGTGCGGTAGGGGGTACGGGTGCGTTGGGGAACGGGGACATGAGCACGGTGGAGAACTTGGCGCGGTGGGGGAACGAGGCGCGGTGGGGGACAGGGAGAGAGGCGCGGTGGGAAACGGGGATAGGGGCGCGGTGGGGAACGGGACACGGTGCAAACGGAATGCGGTGGGGGATAAGGGCGCACCTGGACCTACGTCCGGACGCCGCTAGGGGGCCGGACGTCCGGGTGCTAGGTATTCCTTTTTATTATTCAATAGACAAGTATAGAAGGGGAAGAACGGGCCCAACATGTTTGAAAAGCATCTTGCGTTCAGGCCGATTGACGAAGAAAGCGCCACGCTCGAGTGCTCAACTTTCTCTCTCTTATATCTCATGCATGCAACCAACCTGGTGCGCGTATGTACCAGCTTTGATAAGTCTAACTCCAATGACCTCTTCTCTAATGACCACCATGTCTTCTCCGGTGAAGAATCAAGCTCCAACAAGCTCTGGTTAGGGTAAGGGTCAGATATTTAGGAATAGCGTTTCAAGGTTAGGAGGGGGTTGAATCAATGGCTTCAGGATGTAAAAGGATACCCAAAAAAGCAGTTCGACCGCAGTGATAGAGTGAGTGGGACGATAGGTAGTTGGAGACTGGTTAGGAAATGTTGGTAGCAAGGAAGAGAAAGATTATTACCATAGATTACGTTATATCCCGTATTTCCTAAGGCATAATTTTTAGAAATACAGGAGCCTCTTTTTTTGAGGGTCAACAAGGGAGCCTCTTGGGCATCAAGGCCTTCCCCAATGCTCCACGGTGGTTGGGGGTCTCATAAGGCTGGCTAGGATCAGATGCCATCCTGGACAGGAAAAGCGACCAGACAGTAGCCTTGCAAGCTGTCAGAGCAGCCCATAGAGGAGGTCAGTGCTTCGTCTGACAAAGTTGCTTATGCCACCAAGGGCAAGAGTGAAGCAGCTTGATCGGCTGGTTCATATCGTTGCTGGTTCGTGAAGAAGATCGCTGGTTGGTTTATGTGAGAGAAAAATATTATTCTGGCTGAAAATTTACGATCGTTAAAGATAAGCCACAGCCAAATGAATAAGATTGTACGTCAGAAAAAGAAAATGAAAAAATAAAGGGAATGATAGTGGTGGAACAAGGGGACATGTGTCAGGTATTCGCCAGCGTTGTAGAGACGTTGATTTTAATTCATCCGCTCCTACATTGATCCATACCTTTTTTTATTAGACCGTTGTTTCTATGTGACTGGTATTGGATCCATTGGAGAGATATTTATAATTGATCCATAAAATAGTGGAGAGATTTGGTAAATATTGTCCAATCGTGGATTTCTCGTGTTCTCGCTGATTACATTTAATGCAAACAACTACCTTGATGTGATGAAGAGAAAGTAAAAAACTGAAATTTTGAGGGTATCGTTACCTTCAGATTTCGGTGACACCAAGTTTCTTTGTAGATAGATCATCGAAGGCAGCGTGGAGACTGACAACCCAAAGCCGTGCGTGTGTGTTCCCTAAAAGTTGTCAGCTCATGTACTAGCATGTAACGGTTTAGGAAGTACGGGTACGGGTACGGCCCCCCCACAGGTCACACAGAGGCAAGGGACCTGGGCAGCATTCTGGCGATCTTCGTGGACGTGTTCGTGTAAACGGCGCCTCACAGGGCATATTAAAAGCGAGGGCGTGAGCGTGATGGCGACGGTTGATGCGGTGGAAGCGCGTCGGGCGCCACCCAAAACCGCGTGAAGCTGCCGCCCCACCCCCAACCCACATGAACGCACGAACCCAGCCGTGCCCATCAGCCCACCTGCCCATGATGCCCCATGCAGGAGGGGAGCGGCCAGCGCGTCCGCGGGTGCCGTTTTTAAAAGCGGGCGGCAACTAACGGTTGGGCCTGGGCATGGCACCGGCCGTGGCACTGGCCACCAACGGGTAGGGCACGGTCGGGCGCATCGCCGTTGCGTGGCCGCCGCGCGTACGAGGAGAGGACCGACCGAGAGCGACGCGCGAACCACATGCTACGAGTACAAGCATCAGCAGATGGGCATTGTTCGGTGTAGTTCGGCGCGTCTGGAGGAGACGTGACGCCAGAAAAAACAGGACATAGTACCCGTTTGGAATGAACAAGAGTTCAACATGCGAATTTCGCTCTTGTCCGTGGGGCTCCATACGGGCAGAACCACTCAAATTATATGGTCCACATGCACTTAAAGACCTTCGACTCGTGTACATGAGAGCCAGATAACTCCGGTAGTCTGTCGGGTGTCTTCGGAGAACTCTGAATCATCCATATTTTACAACTTATATATGATCATCATGGAGTTACCACAACATTACAACAGTTGGTACAAAAATATCTTACATCAGAGTGCGGAAGGTTTACAATATTAGTTTACAAAACATGTTCAAGTCAAAACTTAACTTAAGTTCTAAAAGATGTGTAGAACTGCGGAAGCAACTTAGGTAAATCATCGAAGATAGAAGGGACAACTAGATCATGTCGAGCCCACCGACATGACCTCGATTAGCAGCTCAAGTCAGAACCTGCAACAGGAGTTGACAAACCCTGAGTACATGAGGGTACTCAACAAGTCTTACCCGACTAAAAGAAAAGACTTCAAGGGCATGCAGGCTTAAGGTAAGTTTGAAGCAAGAAGTAACTTTTGCAGAAAAGCTTACTACAAGTGGATCCTTACTTTCAATGTTTTAGCTGGGTATTAAGTCATTAGTAGTATCCAGTTTGCACCTAATCTAAATCAATCACTTCATTAATCACCACATCTCATGTTCATCTCTGATCCACCAGTAACCATGTTCCATTGATTAACTACGATGTAGAGCAGAGAATCAAGTCTTCTTCTCCGCGAAGCAACGGCGATTCGAATCGATTGGCCCTGCTGGGGTTTCCTTACCACACGACATATGCAGGTCTAAGGTCCGCACCCAAACCTACATATATCAACGCTCACTCGGATCCTCCAAAACATGAACGGGTCCAGCGCTACCCGAGAGCACAGTACTCCACCTCCCTGCGCCGCTCCTGGCGGATTCACAGGATGTGTACACGCTACTCTCGCCTTCTCTCCACTCTCAGTGCGCAGTTGGCTTTTCACATAATGGAATAGCCGAGGTATTAGGCTTACCGGAGTATGTGGCCAGTACTACAAGGTCTCGACTCATAACAGGTCTACAACGGTACGGTCCTTAATCGACACAGGCGGAACGAGCACGACCAGGCGAACCTGTCTGCCCACACTTACCTTAACATCAGTCCCTCTCGGTCTCAATTTAAACATTATTATCATCATGGTATTCTCACGACCCATAAACAGGGCCGAGAAGAACAAGATAAAACCTATCTCCCGTGAATGATGAAACCATCACCCGACTTCTATCAAAGTCTAAGCATTACTAAGCTTCAGGGGTATCGACCTATTCATACTAATAGGGTAGAACTAAGGATACCTGAATATCAAGG